TTATGGTAATAGTTGGGTGTTCCAGTCCCGGACTTACAATCCTTCTACAAAAAGGACAGCCCTTCCTTATGTTGGAGGCGCCAGTGCGAAGTAAACATTGGCTCCTCCAAACATGCCCGTTTTGCAAGATCCAACCTGGGCCGTTCACCGAGACCGAAGGCTTAGTTTGGAGTTTGAAGAGCTCGGAAGACTAAACCTCCAGTTCCGATGAACGATCCAGATTGGACCTTGCAACATTATCCCGAGACATCATTATATTTGCTTTCATTCGTGTTTGTTTTGACCCCGAACCTCTGGAAATTCCCCTAAATCTCTCTCTGGGGTGTCCGTCCCAGCGTAAGTCTGGAACGCCTCGAGCAATTTCAACCAAACTTGGTAGACAGATGAATTAACTCTCTGGAAATAAATACTGTGAGGGTAAGACACCCCGGGGTGTGTGTGTGTGTGTTTCTGTCCAGATACAGCCTGTTGTGCCTTAACATGGCTTCTACTGTACTGCCGTAAAATGGATTCTACTGTACAGCGCAGTGGAGTTGCCATGATAACTCCCTCTGGGGAAAAATCCAACATTAGAAATTATGTAAGGTCTGGACATTTTCACCCTATACGTAAATACCCGGGCAGTGCCGAATTATCAGCTAGTTCTTTATAAACTTTATTTCCCATAATATTGTCTTTGAGCCTGCTTTCCAAAATGGTGACATTAATTTAAGAATAAGAAGGAAAACGGACAGCTGGGTTTAATTCTAAAATACATTTTAAGACTGTCCCTTCTGCTTTGGCCTATACATTACACTTACAAATTGTAAGCCGTCCGGAGTCCTACGGGATTGGGCGGTATATAAATGCTATTAAACTTATAAACTTACACGCATCATATCTCATATTTGGCCTATGCATTACACGCATCCTATGGCTTGTGTGATGTGTTGTTGCCAGGGTGGGAGCTTATTATATTATTTTATTAATTTGTTATGGGATTATTCTCTTTTAATTTGTTTTATTGTTTTATATATAAGGTTTTTCCCGTAAGCCGCCTTGAGTCACCCTGTGCGAACAGGCGGCAATATAAATTTCCTAAAATAAAAATAAAACAAATATCTAACTTGTGGTGTTGTTTTTTTGTCCTTAAATTGTAGTTTCAAGCGCATCACAATTTGCTGGTGTCATTCACTGGATCAGCCTGGTTATCCTATCGGTCTTCTTTTCCGAGGTAAGAGAAATACGAACGGTTACCGTAAGGAAAAGAAATATATCTGGATTTTCTCACAGGAGAAAATGGGGTCGTTGTTTTTTTTCCCCTATCCTTCAGTAAACGTATTTTTAATTGGGACACAAACAGACTTTCGGTTTTTGGAAGGGGCTCTCCCGAACTCATTTTAATGTGCTAATGTTCCGGGGAAGACCAGCGTACGAATCCGCTCCCGATTAAGAATCGAGAATGTCCCAGTAAACCTCTGGAGACCAGAGAGCCATAAATAGCCGCTTTTATTGACAGATGCTTTACTTCCATTGTCATTTGAAGTGTTGAAATGAGAGGCGCGATCAATAGAAATGAGAACAATTGGCCTCTACGCTGTTCCAGAGGATGCAGTTGTGGCATTGTGCACAATTGAAGACATCTCAATCAAAGACTAGAATTAAGTCTAGAATTAAAAAANCTCACCAGGCTCAAGGTTGACTCAGCCTTCCGTCCTTCCGAGGTGGATAAAATGAAGACCCAGATTGTTGGGGTTTATAAGCTGACTCTGTAAACCACGTAGAGAGGGATGTAAAGCGGCATATAAGTCTTAAGTACTATTGATAAGGAAGGAGGGAGGGAGGGAGGGAAGGAAGGAAGGAAGGAGGGAGGGAGGGAGGCTATGGTGGTGCAGTGGTTAGAATGCAGTATGGCAGTATCCTGACCGTCTCAAAGTTGACTCAGCCTTCCATCCTTCCGATGGAAGCCCTTATATAAACATACAGTCCTTGACTTACAATCACAATGGAGCCCAACATTTCTGTTGTTGAGTAAGACATTTGCCAAGTGAGGTTTTTGCCCCATTTTACGACCTTCCTCGCCGCAGCTGTTAAGTGAACCGCTGCAGTTGACCAGTTAGTAACCCGGTTGTTAAGTGGATCTGGCTTCCCCCTTGACTTCGCTTGTCAGAAAGTCGCAGGCCTGACCTTCCCAGGACCTTGGGACACAGCAACGGTCGTAAGTGTGGAACCAATCGCCCATCGCCTCACGCTCGTGCGATCGTAGGGAGGTTACGAAGGTCGCAAGCATGAGAAATGGCCATACGTCTCTTTTGAGCTGTTGTAAGGAACTGTTGTAAAAGTCAAGGACTCCCTATATATTTAGTTTTCGGACCTGAGGGTTGATACATCCCTTTTGTTAAATTTGGATGCTCTTGTGGGCTGTGTTGTGTTGAGCCAAATTCCGTGTCCTTCGCGTGGCGCCGTGGCGCATTTGGCGCATCACTTCCCTGAGCCACGAAAGCAGAAACTGTGACATCTGTTAACAGCTTGAGTTAGGAGTGTTTGTAGTGGCTCATTACCAGAGTATTACGGTAATCTTTCCCCCTCCTCGTTCGCTGTTGAGCATTTGCTTAAACAGCGGTATATTACGGAAATTGTCAGTTGGTAAATAGAATTGGGTTTGTACACAGCAAAAGGCTGATGCGTTTCTCCTTTTTTTTCCGTAAATTGGCATCTTCCCCCTCTCAGCACATTTTTAAAAAACCCCTCAGTTTAAAAGGAATTGTGTAAATAGATTTATACCAGGGATCTCACCTAGCAGATTGCTTTAAAAAAAAAAAATCGCAAAATTATACTTATTTCCATAAATGCCCCATTGCTGATGAAAGCAGTTTGATCTCTTCCTTTGATCCCATCCTGTTAGAATGGCAGAATAGCAGCAATAGCAGTTAGNCCTGAGCCGGTGAGATTTGAACCGTTGAACTGCAGATAGCAGTCAGCTGAAGTGGCCTGCAGTACTGCACCCTAACCACTGCGCCACCTCGGCTCATTTCAGTCTTTCCTCCTGACTGCGGTAGTCCTAAACTGGATCATTAATGGAGGATACGTACCATACCTTTTACTCTGCACATTTCTACGTTAGCCAGTGCTCCATGCTCGACTGCCAGGCTGCGCTTATGCCTTTTGGCCACAGGGTGGCAGCAAAGGCACTCATTTCATTTTCCTAGGTCAATCTGGCTACTTATGCAATTCTGGATGCTAATTTGACTTTTTCTCTCTAAATAATTACTTGCGAATTGTGGGGTGGGGTCGTCTTGCATCCTCTGAAAGAGCCCAACTTGTCTGAACATTAAGCCTTCCTAGATGAAAGGGTTTATCTGGTAGATTTAAATGATTTTTTCCCCACCACCTGAACATATTTTCTCTCCTTTTCTTCACTGGCAAGTTATTTTCGGACAGTGTCGGGCTGTTTTTGAGTGCTTTGGGGGGAACTATTATAAATTGAGGGCCATCCTCTGATGTAAATACAGCATTTTTATTCTGCTTGTTGTCTTTCGAACTCTCATGGGTTTTTTTTTCACGCCTCCCAAAATTGCATTTCTAGTTGATCGTACCAAAACATTGAATTTAGAAAAGCAGAGTACTGTTGCATATCCACTGCTTCCTTTCACTTATTTCATATTCCTAGCCAGGGATACACCTCCGCTTATTAAATGCCATGGGATCATTTTCCCAGGAAAGGCAAAACACCACATAATGGATCTCTCAGGGGATCACATATCCCACTTTCTACCTCGACTGATTTTTTGCTGAAAGAAATGTTGAGACTTAGGGAACCTGCCTTTGTTCCAGAGGTCAGATAGCAGTTTCTTAAATCCTAACGGCCGTCCGGCTCTGCTACTTGTCCATCAATATAATGCCTGATTTTTGGAGCCCGGACGGTTTTTGGGGGCCCCGAAATTCGCCCAAGAAATGGTTCCCCTTGTAGTCAAATTTGGCTGAATGAAACTCTTTAACTACCACAAAAGAACCAGCAGTGGCTTCTGATATTGAGGCTTGTTTGACCTTGAGGCTCAAAAAAAAACCCCAACCAACCACAGTAGCAGCAAAACTGCTATAAGTTGGAAACCGCAGCTATCTATTACAAGTACATATTGCCGTGGCTAGTCTAGAAGTACCAGGAAATTTAGATGTATAATTGTATATGTATTTATAGCTAGAGAAAGTGTGACCAGTTTTTGGAGCAAGCATAATATTGCTGCATTCATGCCAATTTTCACAACCTGTTGTGGCCCGCCAGTGGAGCTGACAGTAGATTCGGAGAGTGTGGAGGTTGGGGAGGAACCTGGGCCAGTCCTGGAGTCTGGAGAAGGCTCNGCTACCAACCAGCCCCAAAGGCTGTGAATCTCACCAAAGGTTAACCACATAATAATAATAATAATTATCTGCATCAGAATGTGGAGCTAGGAAAAAGAAAAAGGTGCCAACCAATTCAATGCTTGGCAACTTCTTTTAAAGAAACTCCATGTCAAAATCCACCGTTGATCCATTAGAGCAATATTTCTCAATCTTGGCCATTTTAAGATGCGTGGACTTCAACTCCCAGAATTCCCCAGCCAGCTGGCTGGGGAATTCTGGGAGTTGAAGTCCACGCATCTTAACATGGCCAAGGTTGAGAAATATTACATTCGATAATTAGAGTAGAACAGGTGATCTTGACTGAGCAAATCTTGTTTCTATTTTCCTAAGTGATTCCCCCCCTCCAGCTGTCTTCCTTTTAAAACCTATAAAGCAGATTTGAGAAGATCTGAGAATAGGTGATTTTTCACAAGCGGAGAGAATCTTATTTTAAAGTTGGTTGTTCAGAATTATCCCCCCCTCCTAATTGCACCCCAGTTCTTTAAATGATCTAACTTGTCAAGGGATGTATCGTGACCCCCTTCCGTTTTCAGTAGCCGTTGTGGTAGCTGATGAGTAGTGCAGAACAGCCTTTCCACCTGGTGTGAAAATAATCCTATTTGTACGGTTGTGATTCGTAGCCTACGTCCTGCCGGTTAAAGTGGAAATGGAGATGGTGATTCAGCAGTACGAAAAAGCCAAGGTTATTCAGGACGAGCAGCTGGAAAGACTGACCCACATCTGCCAAGAACAGGGGGTAAGTCACAAACAATCCTATTGTCATGCCAGCATCCAAAGGTTTTCTTTCTTGAATTTTGGTTCGGCTTAAAATCAATCAGGCAGGGAGGCATACTTGTTTCCATTGATAAACCAAACTCCATGAAATAATTATATCCAGTCGGATCACTGTGAGTTTAGAGTGTAAAAAAGAAAATCAGTTTGACAAGGATGGATAAACATTACTAAAAAGGTATGTGCTAGGCGTTCCTGACTCTAGGGGGCGGTGCTCATCTCCGTTTCAAAGCCGAAGAGCCAGCGCTGTCCAAAGTCGTCTCTGTGTTCATGTGGCCGGCATGACTCAACGCCAAAGGCACACGGAACGCTGTTCCCTTCCCACCAAAGGTGGTTCCTATTTTTCTACTTGCATTTTTTACGTGCTTTTGAACTGCTAGGTTGGCAGAAGCTGGGNTCAGAGCCTTCCCCAGACTCCAGGACTGGCCCATCTTCCTCCCCAACCTCCTCACTGTCCGAATCTGCCGCCAAGTCCTCTGGAATAAGAATGAAATAAACTTTCTATATCATTGATGCCGCCGGGTTTTTTAAAGGAATGTGAAAAACACAAATGCTAATTGTCTCCCATCTCCCTCTTCCTCCTCTCTTGTTTCCCAACATCGACTCTCTCTAGACTATTTTGAGAATAGTCGTACTTGGTATATGGGACTATATTGAAAACAAAATTGAGGTAAGTCCAAAGTAGCGGAATCTTTTTTTGATCCGTCCCTCGCTTACGTTTCTGCTACTCATTGTCAGCAACCAGGTTAAAGTCAAAATTCAAGGTGGGATATTCTGCCCCAAACTGTAGCTCCTTTGTACAGAACCTGCCAAACTGTCGCTGATTCTTGACTTACGACCACATTTGAGCCCAAAATTTGTGTTGCTAAGCAAGACGTGCAAGTGCAATATGGGGGAAATTGTGGATTATGGATCCAAAGAAGGGGAAGGATTGGATTAACCCACCCAATAATGGCAGGCATAAGAAACCAGGATCCAGGACAGAGTTCAAAAGCACTACAAGTTTTATTTCCTGTTATTTATACACAAGACTTCGATCTACTCAGAGGGAAATTGGCACTAGATAAGAATCAACGGAAATTCACAGAGAGCGGGACTTAGGCGCCTTTGTGGCTGCATAACGATTCCAAACTGATGACTCATTTGACTCCACCTTCAGGCTCCATCTGGTTTTCTCCTAAAGATAACGCGCGTTCAGAAATAATGCCTATATGATTCCGATGACATCCTTTCCCCATTAGGTATTTGATGGTGCTGTGATCATCTTATCATTGGCTCCCATGGTAGCCTCTACAGTGGCTAACGGACCCAGCAGCCCATGGGATGCTATTAGCCTCATTATTACCCTAAGAATTTGGAGAGTCAAGCGGATTATTGATGGTAAGTCAACAGTGAATTATTGTTTTTCCTTCTTTTTTTCCCCTCACTTGGTTGTGCGCTGCCCGGAATCACCTGTTTTGGTGGAGAGGAGTATAAATTTGAAAAATTAACCAATAAAAATAAGCCATTCCTTCGTTAAATGGATAAAATCTGTTTTAGGCTAAATGTGAGTGGAAAACAGTTGACCCTCACTGAGAAGATAAACAAATTCCCAATGTATTTAAAGTCACATGTAATTGTCTGGACAATTAGATTTAATAACAACCACAACAACAACAACAATTTCTTTTTCCACAGTCGCTCAACTTCAATTTGCAAGTCCCGGTACTTTGTGATTTTTTCTTGCTGTTTATCTTCAATTCGTGCATCTCCAGGTATTGCAATGTGCAATTGCAATACTGGCCGCTGTGATACAATTCTGTTGTTGCAATAATAATAATAATAATAATAATAATAACAACAACAACAGCAACAACAATAGAAAAAAGTATGGTTCATTGAAATTGCAATACCTGGAGATGCACGAATTGAAGATAAACAATAGAAAAAAGTATGGTTCATTGAAATTGCAATACCTGGAGATGCACGAAT